GCCCGCTACCCGTGCGTAGAAACTGGTTGCCGTTCACTGTGAGCACGCAAACGCGTCCCCTCCGCCAGTCTCGACACAACGAGGCGTGCACGAGGCTACGGGAACAACCTGTGTCCACCAGCGCAGTGCAGACGGATCCGTTAACGCGTAGTTGCCGAGTTGGGAGAGCACCAACGCCGACCACGGAGAGAAGACTGGCGCTCACGTCTCCCCTCCTCTGTTTCCCGGGCAGCGGGCTGCTACGTGACCTTCTTGCCTACACCTGAAGCAGACGATGTCGCGCTGGCACCAGCGAGCCAGATGGCCGCGCCCGCCGCAGCGGAAGCAGGATGCCGGCTGTTGGGCGCGGCCGCTGGCGCGCGCTTCTTGGAGTGAGAAGCCGACCCCATTGCTCAGTGCGCCTGCTGCGCCTGCCGTAGCCGCAGCGGCCGCTGCCGCCGTTGCCGACTCCTCCGCGACCAGGGCGCGTGCCCGGCCCAGCGTCTCAGTCAGGCCTAGGGCTTCCACGCGCGTGCTGGCTCTCAGCGCGTGCCGCACGGTCTCTGGCAAGCCAGCTACGAAGGCGCAGATCAACCCGTTTCAGACAAACCGCCAAACAGATTGGCCAGCCTGCGCAAGTCTGCAAGGAAGACGTCGACGACTTCGCCCTCTTCGAGACGCCTAGCGACGAATTTCTCGCATGGGTCAAATTTGCCGACGGCGAAAGCCGTGATCAGGGCGTCCTTTACCTCGCTCGGCTTCTGCTTATCCTCATCGGAAAGTTGCTGGTACACGCTGAATGCCGCACGAGTGAGCCGGGGGGGAATCACGTTTTGCAGGTCGCTCATTCCTTTCAGTCTGCAAACTAGGTCCACGTAATGGAGCCACTCCACAACGGATTTCCGGCCACTGAACTCCGGAATGATTCTCAAGTCCAACTTCCCAGGTTCCGCCATTTTGAGCACCTGTGCCGAAATAGCTTGTAAGAAACAGCTAGCGGATCTCAAAAATGCTATGTGTTTGAGCCACGCAGCACGTCACTCCTGCTGGCCTCCAGCAGCGTGCACAGCTCGGTACCCTGCCCTCCAAGCTACGCGCACCCTCGCCGTTTTTCCGTGCCCAACCCTGCTGTCGCAAAAAAAACGTTTCTTTTCCCGCTGTTCCACGCCCCTTGCGCCCACTTCGCCGCTTCCGCCGCGCACGAGATGAATGCTTCCCTTCACACTCCCCCCTGATCCCGGACCACAAACTCAATCAGCAGCTCACACCTAGGGTAACCAAATTGGGAACTGTGATAGGGAATCAGGTATAGGGCATCCAATGGTGACGGTTTTACGGTGATCGGTCCAGTAAGCTCTGAGATCTGGGTTGTCTACATTTGCACGTAAAAATTTTCCCCTCACGTTTTCGAGGTGTTTGGCGTCAGGCCAGGTCTCGATATTGCCTCCCCCATGACTCACCTCATTGCACGGAATCAGTTGGTGAAGATTTCAATGCGATCGGACGAGCTAATTCGGAAAGGCGGTGCGTATACACCCTCCAAATCGGAGGGTGGTTATTCACCGGGCTCATACACCCTCTAAAACGGAAGGCGGCCTACGCACCGGGCTCATGCACCCCCTCCAAAATGGAGAAAGACTACGCACAATACGATTTCAGATACAGTGACTACACAGTGACACCCCTCGCCGAAAAATCTGCAGACTGAACGAATTACTTACTGAAATAATGAAGAGCTAGAGTTGTGAATGAAAGACAACAGGTAATATTGGCTATAAACATGAGACGGTCATCACCTTACCTCCATATACTTAAAGTCCTTTTTCTATATTACTGAGTTGTAGAAATTTGAACCCGAGGGCGCGGTGACCGAATGGTTAGCGCATGTGGTTATCACACTAAATCATAAATTTTCCTCTGTTATAAAGGAGTACAACATATCCTCGCATTAAACGTATGTCAAGAACGTGATGCACTGGTACAATACTTGTCACACACTCCATAGCCAGTGGAAATGATGCATACGGCGCAGGTGGCATGTAGAATTACGCTCGGCAATTGCGCGTAAAAATTCGTCGGCGCGTACTCGACTGCTGCTTAAAGGCGAAGACACCAAGGCCAATAGGGACGAAACCTGACCGGTCATGGGTGCCGCAGGAGACCAACAAAGTGGCTCCCGTCAATATGTATAGGGTCCTCGGAGCAAGCAAAAAGAACCCAAGACCAACGTGGTGAGTCCCTAAACGATCGGCAGTGCCTCGACAGGCCGACATATGAGGCCCCGGTCATAGCATAGTACTCTCCGAGCAAAGGTGAATTATCCAAGACCATGAGTTGATACCCCCGTGCGATCAAAAGTGCACGCGCAGGTTAACGAGACGAGTCTCGATAGGAGAGAGGAGTCCTCCGCAAATGAGACCAAACGGAAAGAGCCCTCGATCAAAGTAGAGAGCCCCTGAGCATTGAGTGTCTCCGTGCCTTACCATATAAGAGCCCCAGCAACAGCACAAGGCCCTTCAAGCAAGTAGAAAGAACCTGAGATTGATATGAACGGCCCCTGAGCAACTGAGTGTACCCTGGTGTATGGGGCCCCGGAAAAAAGTGTATGGAGCCTATCGGTTGAATGGGAAGAAGCCGTGGAGGAAAACCCGATTGACCAACAGACCTCAGGCATGGAGGCAGATAGCGTCCCAACAGCACATTGGGCCCTACGAGAAAAAGGGAAGAGATCAAGGGTGGTGTGGAAAACTCCTTAGCGATCAGGTTGACGGGGCAAGTGGACATATAGGGACAGGCAACCAGCAGCGTAATGCCTCTAGACAGCACAATGATCTCCACAATTTTCCCCAAGCAACACTTACGCAACCAGCGAAGAATAAAGCTCGTTTGCTTATGAACTCTTTACTTTTGCTAGCAACGGCTCTTAGTCATTTATAGGCCCAAAAGCATTCATCTTTGCTGTGCTTTTGTTGTAAGAGAACTGCGTCCAGCCGGCCGGTCATGGGACTCTTCGGAGCCTTTAAGTTACCTCGGCATGGTCCATGGTCCATGGTCCTGTGCCTCCTCCCCCCCCCCCTTCCCATCCTCTGCATCCGCCACCGGCCCGAGCAGCGGAATAAAGGGGATCCGCTAAGGACACAGGGTCATCCGTTCAAATCAGAAATACTCACGACGCAACGTACAGGGCTCTGAACGATCGTGAGAGCCCAAACAGGTAAACATGTAGGGCCGCCGTCAGGAGCTTGGGTTCCTCCATTCAAATAGGGAGTATTCAGGGCCCAGTGCAGAGGACCCTCGAATGGTCCAGTGTTTGAGAGGAGATTAACATATAGGGCCCCGTCAAAAGAGTAGGGCCCTCCATTCAAATAGAAAATACCCAAGACCCAATGTAGAGGGCCCCCGAACTATCGAGTGTGCCCGAGCAGGTTAACAGATAAGGCTCTCAAAAAGTGCATAAGGCCCTCCATTCAAATAGGAAGTATTCAAGACCCAATGAAGAGGGCCCCGGATGATCGAGCGTGCTCGAGCAGGTTAACAAATGGGGCTCCCAACGAGAGCATAGGGCCTTCCATTCGAATGGGAAGCACAGAAGATCCGAGGTAAATGGCCCCAAAATGATGGAATGTGCCCGATCAGCGTATCAGAAGGAGCCCGACAAGAGCGCAGGCCCTCCCGTCAAATAAGAAGTACCCAAAACCCAGTACAAAGGGCCCCCGAATGATGGGGCATACACGAGCAAATCATCAGGTGGCTCAGACAGGAATGTAGGACCCTAAATTCAAACACCAAGACCCAATGTATAGGGCCCCCGAGCAATCCAGTGTGGCCAAAGCGGTGAACAGATGGGGTCCACGACAAGTGCGTAAGGCCCTGCATTCAGATAGGCAATACCCAAGGCACAATGTGGAGAGCCCCGAATATTCGAGCGTACCCGAGGAGGTTAGCAGATGGGGCTCCGGTAAGAGCGCAGGGGCTTCCGTTGAAATATGAATTAGTCAATGTGCCCCTTTTGCCGATTGTTGATCCCTGGACAATACGGGCACCTATTTCGGCCGGAGACCACTACACCGAATAGTCAACTCCGTGTTGTTCTGGGCCCTGGGCTCCCATTTCTCTAGCAGGAATAAGACCAAGGCCCGCGATTTTCATCGGTCAGAGTCCCTACAGCAATGAGTGATTTTTTGACGGTCCAACCAGAGTGTCCAACAGGGCGTCCTGAGACGGAAGACCTCCCGAGTCGGCCAGGGGTGAACCGGGGCCCCTGCGGGACCCTCCATCCCGTTTAAGCCAAGGATCCACTGGCTTAACAAGGGTCTCTGTGCCAGTTATTGGACCACCTACGGTTCTCTGCAGAGTGGAGACTTCCTCCTTGGCATTAGAAACTACGCCTTTATCCGATGTGAAAAGCCCAGATTAGAATGTATTCCACTTAGACGTGAACCGAGTTGGCATCATCATACCACGCCGACAGACCATGAAACCACCCAATTAGCAGCGGCCGTCGTCGAGATTCGAACCCGAGCTAACAGCGTGTGAGACCAACACGTCAACTATCCATCCACTGGGGATGTGGACCCGGCGGGCGAAAATTTGTGATCATAATAGAACTGGCTCAGAGTGGGTTGATGGATTTCGTCGTCGCTTGATGCATACCACGTATAGAGACGACTTTTCGCACGGGAGTCCGCATTTTTGCACTAGCTTCCCTCCAACGCTGGCAATCCGCGCATGCTTAACACGTACAACCATCTGAAATATTTTTGGAGGGTATGTAAGCCCGGTGCGTAGCCACCCTCCATTTTGGAGGGTGTATAGGCCCGATGCGTAACTGCTCTCCGTTTTGGAGGGCCTATAAGCCCGGTGCGTAACCGCCCTCCGTTTTGGAGGGTTTATACGCTCAATCTTTCGGAAAACTTGGGTGTTATCGTCATACGCCAGTTTTTTAGACCTTGCCCAAAAATATCCGACTTGCGATATTGTAGAGCTGCCAGATTCTCTTCTCCCCAATCCTAGTACTATCACTTTGGGTACCCCGCTCAGGCTGTCTTGCACACAGGGGCCTGTGTGTTTAAAGGCGGCCGTCGGAGCATATTTTGTGGGGATACAGGTAGGTGTTAGGGGTCGTTTAGCTGTGTGACATGTAGAACCTGCAAGGAGACCGTCGATGAATCGAGGCTATCGTCAGTCCCGTATGACCTTGGTTGTTGGGGCTTTTGTATTGTGCTGAATTAGTGCAGTTCCATCTCGGTATGCATTATTGTTTTAAGCAATCATCTACAGTCATCATGTTGCTCTATGTTCATCTGGTACTTGTTCTGTTCATAATAAGATTGTTCGAGTTGTCTGATTATCAGTGGCATATAAGACCGCATCACCTGTACCCTGTCCCTCATTTGTCTGTATGACCCTGAACTATTGTTTTATGCTTGATGCAGTAAATTCTCATCTCATTTGCATTGCATGGCATCACAATTCACAGTGGGGATAAATTAATTTTATGGTCATTGCGAGTAGAGTGTGCTTGCATCTACAGCTAGTTCAGCTTGCAATGCAATTCCTTTTTTGAAATGGTGCTTGCAGCTCAGCTCACAGTCACTGTCAATAGTTTCCACATATGCTCTGCATGCTAATTAGGGCACATGCATGCTAATACAGTCAGGGTATCTACCTGTTTTATGATTATCCATGACATGTTCTGCCTTAAACACAATGAAAGATGTACAATAATTTTTTCTAACATTAGATACCAATGTTTACCTACACCATGAATACTGCATTTTCCCCTTTGCATCATTGGACTGCAGCAATTTCTTGCCCTTTTCCAAGCATGGTTGTTTAACTGAGAATGTTTGTATAAATGTAGGTGGTAGCTTCTATGCTCAGAATGGAACTCCCTTGGTACATTTATATGTGTGAATGTGAAGTTTTACATTATCAACTTTTAAGCATGTCAACATTAGAAGCTAACATGGTTTGAGGTGTAAGATGAGAAACATCTGGGGATGAGGCTGTAGCAATGTTAATTGATATGCTTTCAGATCCTATTGATATTTTTAAAATGCAAATTGAGCAGTCACACTTAATGTTGTATGCCTTGTACACAATTTGTGTTATATTTTAATTCAGTAAACTTAATGGCATTCAGTGAGTTATTATTGGTGAATTTATTGCAGCTGCCTGAATAAGTTTTTGGGCATGGTGTGCATTGAAAGTATTATGTCCGACCACCAGCTTTGGTTGAATTTTAACACAAAATTTGTAGATCTGAGTGTAAAGGAAACCTTAGCATAGGCATGCTTTTCTATGCAAGACAATTCATTTCAGAATATCTTGGTCTTGTTTAAGGAAATTTGGCCAAATGCTGTGGAGTGATGGCATTGGGGCCAATGGCCTTGGCAAGCATAACTTGCTAGAAGGGCCTGATCCTGCCACCCCTATGGAGAAATGCCAGTGCACCAATGCTGTCTGAAAAATTATTCCTTGACACATGCATCCATGCCAGCCTGGTTCTTTTCTCAGGATCAGTCATCAGGCAGTTGTCAGTGTCTGGAACACAAGCCCACAGTTTGCTCCCCTAAGAGACTTGCTGACTTAACTACAGGGTTGGGATATGAACAATCAAGTTCTTTGTGTGTCATATGTGTTTCAAACTTGAGTCCCAAAGTTCGTCAAGTCTACTCCTGAGCATTTTGAAACTTTTGTGCCATTTTACTTCTTTTGATAACTCATGCATGTTTAGTTTTTATCATCTGATGCAGAAAGAACAGTGGTGTGGCTGCATGCTTTACTAAATTTGTATAGCATTGCATAGTGTGCTTTTTCTTCCCAGACCTGAACTGTCATGTCTGAGCCAGGACCATCAGACAAGCAGGGCAGGAAGAAAGGCTGGCCGCGCGGCAAAAAGCGCACTCTCAAGATCAAGGATGTCAACGCACCCAAGCTGCCCATGTCAGGCTACATGCTGTTCCTCAACGACCACCGCGAGCAGGTGCGCGCCGCCAACCCCGGCGCCACGTTCTCGGACATGACGCGGCTGCTGGCAAACGCCTGGCAGGCGGCACCACAGGAGGAGAAGCAGCAGTACATGGAGGCAGCACAACAGCAGAAGGAGCGCTACAGCCGGGAGCTCATCAAGTACCAACAGACAGACGCCTACCGCGCCTTTAGCGAACAGGTCAAGGCCAAGGGCGGCAGTGTGGTCGTCAGTGGCTCGGGCGGCGGCGGCGGCGGCAGCAGCCGGGCGGCGCGCCACGACAAGGAGAACGAGAAGGAGGCGCGTGCGCCGCCGCCACCCGCGCCCGACCAGGACACGGCCGTTCTGGAGATTCCCATCTTCACCGAGACGTTCCTGACGCACAACCGCGAGCGCGAGGCGGAGTTGCGGCAGCTGCGGCGCGCCAACACCGAGTTCGAGGAGCAGAACGCCACGCTGCAGAAGCACATCGACAACATGAAGGAGGCCGTCGAGCGGCTGGAGTCGGAGACGGAGCAGCAGCGCGGGCAGAACTCGGCCCTGCAGCAGCACCTGGACCAGCTGCGCGCGCTGCTCTCCGAGCGTTTCGCGGCTGTGCCGCTGCCCGGCTGCCCGGAGCCGCTCACGCCGGATACGGTCGACGTCTACCTGGCCAAGCTGCACGCGCTGATCCTGGAGCGGCCGCAGGAGAACCAGGCGCTGGTGGCCACCGTGCGCGACATCGTGCACCGGCTGGAGCACCAGTGAGCGGCCGGCCTGCGCCTTGGGCTGGCTGCCAGGGGCTGCCCGGCACCGGCGAACTGACCACACCTCCGCTGGAAGACGGTCAACGGTTTGGCGTCGTTCAATGTTGGGTGACGATGCATGTGGGATATGCTCGTTTGTGTAGGTAAAATTTTGCAGAAATGTGGCCAGGGTCCTGTCAGTGGAGCGTTGGTTACCAGTACCGTGCGCCTGCATTGAAACGTTCTATTCGTGTGTTTGTTTCAATAAATCGTTTCCGGTCAAGATATGTACTGCCTGGCCTGAGTCTCTGCTTTGAAATATAAAGCATAAGCATGTGACGTAAAATCTCAAAACTATTATGTGTATTTTTTTCGTTAGGAGCTCGGTGCACTCTCCCACGCTTGCTTTTGGGCAAAAACCTCGCTAGGATAGGCTCCCGTATAAGTCCCGGTTATCATATCACGGACTGGTATGTCGCTGGCGCGTGGGTTTGCATGGAGCCGTCGGTGTCTGTATGCGGTCCCTCCTCGCGGTGCTTCCCGACCTTTAGTTGTGCAGCGTCCGCAAACTGCTGTCTTTAAAAGAGGCTGGTGTGCCAATCTCGAACAGTAGTTGTGCATCATCGTCCCCATAGGCAAGAAATCCATTTCAGCTCATAGGTCTTCAAAGGAGGGCCCTTCCGGTTGGCGGTATGACATTGCCCTACGTTTTCAGTATGCGCCCTCACAACCACTCTCCCGTATCCGGCTGTCTTGAAAGTATGTGGAAGTGCAACCATTCGTGGGTGTTCACGATTTTGTACGCTGCGTTGCGCCTAACCTTCATTATCTAGAGCCAGTTCAAGTGTGTACGTGTGTGCTCGTGCCTATTCTTAACGACGTCTTCGCGACGCTCGCGTTAGTTTTAGGGTTTGGTGCAAGTGCATGTGCTATCTCCCGCACGGTCGCCTTAATACACTTCTAGATCTCAGTGAGCTATGCATTTCATGCCTGTGGGAGAAGTTTAAATGTAAGAGTCCTAGTGCATTGCGCGGATCAGGATACAGTCGGACATTGTGGATGGTAGGAGACAGTGGGAGGGACATTGTGCATTGCAGGATACAATGGGAGGGACATTGTGCATTGCAGGATGCAGTCGGACGGACATGGCGGATGGCAGGAAACAGTCGGAGGGACATTGTGGATGGCAGGATACAGTCAGAGGGACATTGTGGATGGCAGGATACCGTCGGAGGGACGTTGTGGATGGCTATCTTCAGTTTCATGCTCAGTGGTCGCTGAAATGGCCGGCCGCGTTCACGCGTGGAGCGACATTTATGGGACGCACCGGCACCATGTCGGAGCAATGGGCATGAGTCAGCCGCTACACTTCGGATGATCCACACCGGCATCATGTCGGAGCAATGGGCATGAGTCAGCCGCTACACTTCGCTGCCGTTCAATTCTCTTCATCCGAAAACTTCGCCTTTCACTCCAAAGGGAGACAATGGTTATAGAACGCTGCCAAATGAGGCATGACTGACATGAAGCGCACAGCGGCGACAATCGCCAGCGCACCTGACGGCCCGGTAAGCCACGGCTGAAGTGCCACATTGCTTTCGACGCCCATGACATCATCGCGAACGTGGACGGGATGGGAGCGATACGCCGATAAATTACACAGGCGTGACACTGACAACACGACACTGGTAAAGCCCCGCGGGGATTGGTTCATCGGCATACAGTATTTTGATTTGTGGTGCTGATTGCGTAGGTCACATTGCGTGATGTAAAAATGCTTTCTGCGCGCTAGTGGATGATCCGTTTTTGCCAGGCCAAAACGGTGGTGAGTGCAATTCCGTGAGAACTTCTTTTTGCATTGTTGTTTGCACTGCCAATAACAATAACAATAGCTCATAACAATAAGCTCATAACAATATGCAAATTACACTAACGTCACCTATATATATATATATATATATATATATATATATATATATATATATATATATATATATATAGGTGACGTATACTACGTACGTATAACTGCACTTCTGGGAGACCAGAGGCTCGGGGTGCGGTTTCCCGCGGTGCCCGCCCCTCCTGCCAGGGTGAGAGGCGGGCGCCATGATATAGTCTGATCGGTCAAGAGCGTCGTGAAACGCGAATGACGATGCTCATAGTTCACTAGCGGTGTCAACTTCTCACACGAATTCTCACACACGAATTCAACTTCCAGGCTTTAATAGTTTCTCTACAGGTTGATAGACTTGAACGGTGTCAAAAAGCGGCAGTTTTTTTGTTGAGGTGTGTTCGGTGGTGGTCGTAGCTCGTATAGATGGCTTTGGACATGTTGCGTGTCGGAAAACTTCGAGTAAGCTGAGGGGATCAGAATGTGCTGTCAAATGAGTAGGGAATACGTATTCAAACCTACCTCATGTGCGATGAAATTGGACTGATCTTCCATCGCTATGTCATAAAACACGGTTGTTTTCTTTCGCGCATGCATTGTCACAGAGGCGTCATCGTTCGCGCGCACGAAACTCGCAGCAGCTGAGCCGCGACTGTTTTGTTCCACATTGAAGTACAGTGCACGGACATTGGCATCGCGCATATCACAGTACGGTGCATCTAATAAAGCTCACACTGCGCTGCTGTCATCTTGTGAATGATGGTGAACCCTGCTGCTCCCCCCCCCCCCCCCCCACTCCCTCTCCCTCCTCAACCCTCCTCGCCACCTCGTCCCCGCGCGTGATCATCCTGACGTGGCCGTCTTGGCATCCAGAAATAGAACCTCCAGCGCACAGCGACACCAGAAGCCATTCCACGTGACACAATGTGTGGTTATAGCGTGCGGAGCACTGCACTCCACTGGTGCGACGGCACAGTACAAATCGGTCGTAATGCGCATCATTTCAGTGAGAAGTGTGGATGAACTGGTCCGGCGCGATCGGGCCTGCAGCGGCTCACGCTCCCCTCCGCGTGATGGCTGCCACATTCGACAGCTTGGTCGAACACTAAAACGTGGCGGTCAGCGTGGTGTTTCAACGTCTCACCAGCCTGGTCCGGCAGGTCTATGTGCCACTAAATCACTGTCATTTCTCCGCTGGTGGCCGCTCGTTCTGGGCAGTTAGCACGTGCCTGATCAGTTGGCTGTGAATCAAACGATAACGGTACGCAGATGTGGCGGCCAGGCGACCCGTTGCTCACATGGAGCTGATTGTGCGCCGCTGTCGTGTTTTAGCACCGATGTGTTCTGCAGTCGGAACATGGACACAGACATTTTATGGTCCATCGATTATCACACGAAGGGGTAAGCATTCCTCTTAAATTATTTTGGCTAATGTAACCTTCTTGGTATATCCTGTTTCGGACGAACTTCCACAGCACTACCCTTGACTCTTCACAGATTCTGCCGCGGGACTCTGGGAGCTAACTGTGCTGACACCGCTCCTGGTGGCATCGGTCGATGTCCCGTTGGTGGCAGAAGCGAACCGCGAATCGGTCATCTCTCTAGGCACATCGGCTTGGGAGTGGCCGGCGGTAGGGTCACCTCCCTTGGCCGCCCGGGTGGTAGCGCCACCGCCCCGGGCGCCGCGGACGGCAGCGTCTGACCGGCCTCGTCCGCGGGCGTCGGTGGGTTGTGCGTGACCTGGCCGGCGGGGTCTGCGGTACGGCCGGCTCGGGCCGGCGAAGCTCAGCCGGTGCTGGGCCCGGCCGGCCGCCTTCGGCCGCTCCAGGCAGGTGTCGGCGTCGTCGGCGGCGGCGCACACCGGGCCGCGCACGCACTGCACGCGCAGCACGTCGAAGTAGAGTCGGCCGATGTCGTCCGCCTCCGGCACGGCTGCCGCCTTCAGGCACCTGTACAGCTCGTCGTCGCAGTCGCAGTGAGACCTGGAAGTCGGGGTCGAGTGAGTGAGGGCGGCGCGTCTTGTCATAGCTGGTGCCGGGAGGACGTGCGGCGTAAAGTGCAACTGTCGTGGACGCGCCTGATTGGCGCAGTCTGACGTCACTGGTAGCAGCTGGCTGGCATCGTGCGTCTCCGTGTTCGCTCAAATTGGCATTCACGGCTAACGGATCTGATAAGCAAAAAAAAACCCGAGACATTCCACGTAGACAGCTATAAGACTTTGAGCCAGAAAAGCATTTCTGAAGTTTTTTTGAGGCAAAGAAGTGTTGTTGAAGTTTTTCGGTCATATCTACGCATGATGCAGAACCCACCGGTGTATTTGACCAGATCATATTCAAGCGATCTAGAATGCTCTGCTGCATTGTGTTGTTTCTCACTTTGTGTACGGTGACCAATTGAAGAGATCATAACGGCGTCTGTAGGCCTTGACCTTGACCGGACAAAGGTCATGGGTGCGACAGCAGCTATCCAGGGCAAAGTTAGGCCCGAGGTCGTTCCAGTCGGACGCCGAGTCTCCCAGGCCGCACCATTTGGTACCTGACGGTCAGAAGGTGGCTGATAAGCGAATGGCCTCCGTTGCTGCCTGATACTGTAATGTACACATTCTACCCTGAAGGAAGATCACGGCGACCAATGATAATCCGAAGAGACATGCAGCTGTGATACCCGCGTTCCGTCCGTCCACTCAGGAAACCAATCGGACTGGTATTCGTATAAAGCCTCGGCATTGGTGTACCGGACTCGCTCAGTTGGGGCCCGGTCCTCAGACCTATCGCCGCGACGAAGCTAGTGGGCACAGCAGCCGGCCACCGGGTGCCGGGGCTGGCAGCGGCTCGACAGCTTGTGGCTCCCACCTGGCACCAGGCCCCTGAGGAGCGCGAGCCCGTCCCACCGACGGCCCCGCGGTCTGCAGCTCCCACCTGGCACCAAGCCCCTGAGGAGCGCGAGACCGTCCCACCGACGGCCCCGCGGTCTGCGGCTCCCACCTGGCACCAGGCCCCTGAGGAGCGCGAGCCCGTCCCACCGACGGCCCGTGGCCTGCGGCTCCCACCTGGCACCAGGCCCCTGAGGAGCGTGAGCCCGTCCCACCGACGGCCCCGTGGCCTGCGGCTCCCACCTGGCACGAGGCCCCTGAGGAGCGCGAGCCCGTCCCACTGGCGGCCCCTTGGCCGGCCAAAGACGCCCTGGCGGCGCGGACGGACGGCGTCCAGCTGCTGGCAGAGCCGCAGCGTGGTCATCATCTGGTGGAACGTGATCTCGGTGACAGGTCGCTCCTGCGAGATGGTGGCTAGCGCGGTCTGCTCCTCCGCCGGGAAACTGCCGGACGAAAAGAGGGAGCGATCAAACTTTCGGACCGAAACAGGGAGCCGTCAAACTGCCGGACCGAGGGAGGGAGCGGTCAAACTGCCGGACTGAGAGAGGGAGCGATCAAACTGCCGGACCAAGAAAGAGAGCGATCAAACTGCCTGACCGAGAGAGGGAGCGGTCAAACTGCCGGGCCGAGAGAGGGAACGGTCAAGCTGCCAGACTGAGGGAGGGAGCGATCAAACTGCCGGACCGAGAGAGGGAGCGGTCAAGCTGCCAGACCGAGAGAGGGAGCGATCAAACTGCCGGACCGAGAGAGGGAGCGGTCAAGCTGCCTGACCGAGAGAGGGAGCGATCAAACTGCCGGACCAGGAGGGGGAGTGGTCAAACTGCCGGACCGAGAGAGGGAGCGGTCAAACTGCCGTACCGAGAGATGGAGCGATCAAACTGCCGGACCGAGAGAGGAAGCGGTCAAACTGTCGTACCGAGGGAGGGAGCGATCAAACTGCCGGACCGAGAGAGGGAGCGGTCAAACTGCCGGACCGAGAGAGGGAGCGATTAAACTGCCGGACCATGAGAGGGAGTGGTCAAACTGCCGGACCAAGAGGGGGAGTGGTCAAACTGCCGGACCGAGAGAGGGAGCGGTTAAACGACGGCAGTCTGGTGACAGAATAAGGGGGAGGGCGGGGCAGTATAGGATGATCCAAGAACCGGCCAGAGCATCGGTGACAGCCGGATCCGACTGGGCATCGGCGGCGTATTGAGCGGACAGACCCCCCCCCCCCCCCGTTTATAATCCTAACGCTGTAGCGTTGCAGGAAACACGGCCTAGAGACAAACTGTGCTGCTCCTTCAACTCTAAAGAGGTCATGCCGCCATTGCAATAAGGAGAGGGCGAGACGGCGTCGGCGGCGGCGGCGGCGGGCGGCGGCGGGCGACACGGCACGTCGCTATGCTGAGGGGGCAGGAGACCGAGGGGGGGGGGGCTGCAGCAGCGGGAAGGTCAGACCAAGGGCAGGAGTCATGGAGGAGGGAGGTCATGACACAACAGGAAATCGGCTACTACCAAGATTGACGCCCGTAAGCTGGTGAAGGGCGCCACTCAGTTCGCAGAAGCTCAGCTATTTAGCTCTTCACATGCGTCGTTGTACTTGGTTATTCCTGGCCACACTCGCGCATACACCGGTGCATATTTGTACTCTATTTTCTTGGTTTGTGGAAAGATCGCCCATCGAGTATTCATGGGCCGTCTGTCTGTGCGCCTGACGTAAACACTGGTGTAACGAGAGGCGAGGTGCTACATTGTCTGATGGCGTAGCCTATTGCTCCCGTATATTTGACCGTGCCGCCAAATGCTTCCACCCATGAGAATCACTAGAAAGCTTCACAACTATTCCGGTTACAAAGGGGGTTGGGCGCCGGCTTACCTTTCCACCTATCCACGCTTTGATGTCATTTCAAACATGTCGTTCCCTGCACCAAGTCATTCCCAGTGTCATTCGAATGGACTCAGCCATTTCCGTGCCCTCCCTGGCTAGACTAGCTGACACAGCCGAACTGGGGTCAAATGGCCCCGCGTGTTTAAAACTGGTTCGGTGGCCGATGCCTGGCTGTTCTAAGCGTCCCCCCCCCCCCCACACACACACGTCACAGCACGGTGGGCACGCGCCACTTTCACTGGTGACGAGCCGGAACATGGCGCGTGCGGCTACCACGGCCGACGAGCGCCGAGCGTCACTAGAAAGCGGCATTTGGCCCCCGTGTTTGATTTGATTCGAATGTCGTCGATGAATCGGTTGGAACCTCAGAAATGTGGGTGGATGGGCGTGGCCCTGCATAGCCATGCCATTTCCTTGTTAGATGTGGACACCACTTGCAGCTGACGGTGGCTGACAGTTTCAACAGCAAGACACTTTCTGCAATATGCACTTCATGGATTTATCTGACGAGCGAGAGTGAGCTTTGTCCGGACGCAGCCGGCCAACCTGCGCGAAACCCTTGTGAGTAAGGCGTGCCTGGTCAAGACGCTGTTGATTGCGTTCCAGACAGACCACGTGTCGGGCGCGGCGGGGAAAACCATGACGTTCTGTGGCGCCATGGACTGCGCTGGACTGCGGGTGGGGCGCTGAGCCGAACAGGACCGGAGCCGGTCATGATCGGACCCGAGCCGCCGGTGGCGCCGCTCCCAGCCCGACCCCGTCCGAGGCCGGGGCCGGGGCCGGGTCCGCCCGCGCGCGCAGCTCACGACACCGGTGTAACGAAGCCGGGCGGCCGGCCGCTGCCGGACCCGGCCCCGGCCGAGCCTCTGGCAGAGGCCCCGGCCACAGCCGCAGCGGAACGAGACCCAGTGGCCGGGACGGGCGGCGGCGGCCGGAGCGTCTGCGAGCCTCACCGGCGGCTGGGGAGAAAGCGGACTGGGCAGAGGGACGGGCCGGAGCGACAGCCAGGGACGGACGGGCCGGAGCGACAGCCAGCAACAGACCACAGACCACACACCACTTGGTTCGCGGCAGATTCGTCAGGCTCCGTTTTTGCAGCACGGCTCAGGCGTGCAAGCGTGTATGTGCACGTACACCCACATACGCATGTGTACGTGCATGCCAGCACCTGGGCACGACGGTGTGAACGCCATTGGGGCGTGCCGCATGCGCCTGACAGGAAGGATAAGAACATATGTACGCGCTGATAAATACCGTTGTGAGCGTATCCCCAATTGGTGAGGATTTCAGAGTGAGTGACACGCACAGGACCTCGAGAACATAGCAGTGGGTGACACTTCACCTCGAGCGTGCGACACTGGGCGACGCTCGACTCGGGCGTGCGACACTGGGTGACACTCACTTGACCTCGATCATCTGGCAGCGCGTGATGTTGCCGGCCGGGTCGAAGTGCACGGTGGCGATGGTCTGGCCGTGGTGGACGGTCACGAGCCGCGCCTGGCGCCGCGGCCGGCCCCCCACCGCCACGCCGCAGACGAGCAGCGAGCCGAGGCAGAGCAGCAGCAGCGCTAGCAGCCGCGCCCGGGCCCGGGCCAGCGGGCCCAGACCCATCCCGAAACGATCCGGACTGACCTGACCTGACCTGGCCCGCACGGACCGAGTCACAAGTCACGGGTCACGGTCGGTGCCGTCCTGCCGGAGGGCGGCGCGGGTAATTTGTGGGTCGGTTAGAGGTGGCTTAGCAGTCTTGATTGCTAGCGGTTAGCACACCGACGCAGGCGAATCACGCACGATTTAAAACCACACAGCCACTGCCCACTCGGCGCCTCCAGGGCGAGGAACCGCCCGGTACTGGCAGCCTTGGCGAGAGCACCGCTAGCCGGCGCACTGAGCCGGACTGGCAACTCGAACTGGCAACCGGCCGCCGCCGGGGGGTCTGAGGGTGCGCGCACGGGCTCCCGGCACAAAACGTGTAGAGATGCTTGCCAACGCCACCAATCAACAATGAAGTTTCCCTAATGGTGCTCCAATCAGCCTTCTTATCAACTTTTACGCCATTTTTGTCTTGCCGGCAATTATACCGGAGAGCGTTTGCCTAACCGATCAGTGATATATACACTCTTCCATTCAAGTCCGAAGATAGGCCGAAGATAGTCCTGCTATTCCCAGCACTGTAGCAGAGCCCGCTAAACTATCTTCATCGTGCAAACGCATATGACTCAGAAAGGCAATTATTGACTCTGTTCTCGCAAGTTTCTGCATTGTGGACGCCCGGTGATGAAATTGGCCTTGGGAAAGCCCGGGGAGTATCGCAGCAAACAACTGGCACAGCGGAGAGCCGCTTCCGCACGCGCGGGCGGGCCCACCGCCAAATCCGGGGACAGATGAAATGTCATAAATGTCGATTCCGAACGCTGCGCCCGTAATGATCCGAACATTAATCAAGCCTTGACACCCTTACGCACAGAAAGGATGGCACAGCTGTGCCCAGTTATCTGGAGATATATCTCGAAAACTCATACGTTTTATAAACTTACCAAATTTGTTACACTAAGCTGTGGGTACCTACACTCGCCCACAAAGTTCGCTTGCCACAGTGTCAGGTCAGTGACTAAGATAGTTAAAGGAGCTCTTTATACGGAAAACGTGGAAAATCGGTCTCATCTCTGAGCATACCAGGTGCCCGCTCGGGTGGCTTTGAATGCGTGAAGTGGCCATATTAAGTGCCATCAACGCTCGTAGCCTTTATTCAGATCCGTTGAGGCCATGGCTTCATCATCAAGAGTACTGTAAATTCTGGCCAATCAGCCGGTCGTGTTGTCAACTGAGGCGACTGAGATGTGTTAACGACTGTTTAAAGGTCGCTCAAGGTCACGTTCACGTCTTCTCAAGGCTTTCATGCCCTTCAAAGAATTAATGGTGAGCTTGCTCATGGTATGAATTTATCACCGTCATGGAAATCCGGAAGCGTATAGATCAGTGTCATAGAATCTCACAAGTTGGTCCCGTACTATTCTAAGAAATAGGTGGTGTCATGATTCCACTTGTGCCATCTGTGCTCCAATCCGGAGCCTTCGAACATACACGTAACACCAGGTGGACGGGAAAATTCGCTTTACGTTCGCCGACCAGGCCTAACGGCTGAAGTATAACAGACATGGAAGTAGGGGTGGAATATGGTGCGCGGGTTGCCACTCCATTCGGAAGGCGACGCCGGTCTCCGTAGATCTGGTCACAAGTCCCAGGTTTTCCGCCAGGACCTGAAGATTGACTTGTATCGATATATCGGAACCGTGAACTTTAGAGACCATTGGTCAGCAAGATTGCGCTGCTTTCGGACAGCATAACAGCAAATAAGTGGCACTTATAACGCCAACACATCTAATCCGCGCAAAAAAGCAACACAACAGAGCGGGTGACGCTCGTTGTCAAATTTCGTTATGCGTGTTACTCGGCCCACGCTCGCGGATGGGTAGCGGCCGGGTAAAGACAGCCGAGGAACACAGGGAACACGTGGTTCTCTAAGGTCCCGATTGAAGGGCACGAAGAGCCCAACGAGCTGGCCAGAAGTCGCATTGCGGTACCTCGGCCCGCGGAGCCAGGCCGTCAAATGCCTGTGAGGGGGCCTCCTGTGCCGATCGGGGTCTCCTGAGACTTGTCCGTCAGAGGCCACCAATGCCGGGCAGTGGGCTCCATGTCAGTATAGGTCCCGACGCCCCATTTCCCTAGCGCGGATGTCGGGGCCACTTTTCCGCATAGCGGAAAAGTGGCCCCAAGCTATCTGACAATGAAAAGGAAATATGGGGGATAACAATGAGAGGGCCCAAATGTGACAGTAGATGGGACCTGTGTCGATCAGGGAAGTCAATACCAAATGGGGACCCTCCACCCCGTTTCATCAAGGGGCCCGGTAAGTTGATTTAAGGTCTCTATCCCCATTATTGGAACTCCTGCACAGATATGAGACCCTTTTGCGTCAGCGAGATCTCTGTGTCGATGTGAGGCCAACTGCCCCAGAAGAGGGGTCTCCTGCGCTGGGAAGGGGACCGATTTATGATTATACCACTGAGGACCTCCGCGCCGCCAGAATGACAGTCTCTAGGTACCAAGGGCTGGTACGGAAAGTCACTCCAGACCCAGCCTGAGAAAGGTAATGTGCTCCCAGTGTTCTAACCACAAGACCCCCTGCCTGAAAAGTAAGATGTCTCTGGAGGGTTAAATACAGTTTGTCAAAACAGGTTTAACATTTGTTTTTGGCATGACCAACCCACATTTTCCTGAGAACGTCCATCATTTTTTACCATAATTAATGAGTAAAAGCAACATATGCATCAGTACTTACGTGGTCGTGCTGCTAACACTCAAGTGGTTTTCAAACTACTCCGGACCGCACCCCAACGCGAAGACCACGAGTGCACCGTCCGCCACTTAATTCCCATTCTTGAACGCTGGAAATCTCGAGGCTCCGGGTCGTCTATTTACCACCTCGCCACTTGTCTTGCCGGATTGCAGGGAAGCTGATGCCGGGCGAAAGCCCGCAATGCAACCCACTTCCTTGCCCGTCGGAGCTCCGAGCTGACTGGTCCCAAATGTAGGTTACCGTAACGGGCGCAGGAGGCGCGCAAGCACTTACGGTTTAGCTTATAGTAGAATATGAAATATACTGTACCAAACAACTAAAAAGCTTCCATATCGTCGAAACAGTCGGCATTCATTACGCAAAAGATTCAAAATCGGAGAGGACGCAAAAGATGCGCGGGCGTTTAGGGTGCCAATGGGGTAGTGGGTTACACGCCTGCGATAACTATTTGATTTGCGACGAGCTTGGAGTTTACCTCCCAAAAGTACTTATGGTTGAGATTGGCAGTGGCTGTGTTCGAGTGCGGTGGCCGACTCAAGCAAGCAAGATAAACCAATTGAACAATACCGCCGACAGGGTACAACCTGGTCAAAACAAATGCATGTGCAATCGATGCCATTGATGTAGAACTGTTCCCGAAATGGGAATAAACTTCCCTGATGTTGACTGTTGGACTGATGTTGACCATGGATCACCGCGAGGTAGATATCATAAAAAATGGCGCGACGAGGTCTATATTGTCATCTTATTCATGACACTAGCTAAAATACAGTGGTTAGGTCAAAACAGAAGGTTGACCATCTGTTAACATAACAGTTTTCTTAATGGGTCTTGATTTCACAGCAGTCATGAAATTTGGGAGGGGTACTCATCAGGCACCCTTTTTAGTGCTTCAGTAACTTGAAGTGGGTGAGAATCTGAAAGGGAGCATGGGACAGGTCTATTTTAAACTCATCTTACAGTTTTATTTTATTACTGACAGTGCCTTGTGAAGTGCTCTTATGCACATGCTATGTCCATCACAGGTGTACTAAATAATTTGCAGATAAGGTACAGAAAGAGACATCAATAAAGAGGGAAGTGAATGGTTACATGTCACGTTTTGAAGTACTGAGCTATCTAGGGTGGATATGAAGTAGCAATGAAAAACTTGTTTGGGCATTAGCCGGGCTCAAATGTTTGACTTAAGGTTTTGATTACAATGATACCTTAAGCTAAGCCATCAGAGACATACTCAGAGGGTTGTCATGTTTACACAAGTTTCTCTGGAGTCACACAGTTCCTTGATGTGAAAGTTCCAGAATAATTCCCTTTTCAATAGTTCTGTTCAATATTTGCTATCAATATGAGTGCATGGACCCTCAACCCAGTTGTTCCTTGCTTTTGAGAAAGGGCATGGTTGATGATATATACTTAAGAAGCCCTTAGTAATTTACCATTTTTATTTTTCCCATATCCATGAGGACATGCAGCATTCTGAATGCAGGCTGGTGAATGCAGAAAATGAGACAGCTGATGACTTGAATTGGCATGTTTTTTCCCGTTGAATGTTGTTAAATGTCAAATAAATGTACACATTCAGCATTCATTAATCCACCATTTTGCATATTTTTCATCCCTTCCAAATAAACTGTGAAGCAACTTTGCCACAAGCATGAACAAACCTGTAAGATGCCACTGAACCACAGTTATGTTTTGTTAATTTATTTGAAGATGTGCCTGTTACCTTAGTAACATGCTTATTTCCAGATGCAGTGTGTCAGGCAAGAAGCTCGCCAGCTTGATGTGTGAAGTTGAGACAATTCTACATGCTGTGTGCCACTGAAGTGAGCATACCAGCAACATTTAATTATGGCTGGTGCCAAAGCCAAAGCAATTGAGAAAGGTGTGGAAGCTCTCATAACCAATATTACTGGTTTTGATCTCTCAGTAAGTATGCTGCTTGCACATGAAGTATTGAGTTCTGCTGCAATCATGGTTTCATGAGTGAATCTCATTCCTTCTAGTTGCTGTTGCTATGATTTGTTTGTTCACATAGAGCACACAGATGTAATCAGTTACTTGACATGAGCCAACAGGCAGTAGTGCTAGGAGTTTTGTGCCAAAACAGTATTCTGCCATTCTCAATCATCTTCAAGTAAAGTGAGCATGAAAGGTGTCAAACTCACCCTGGTGTGACTCTGCATGTGCTTGGATTTGGATAGATGGCACATGTTCCTGTATATATTTGTGCGCTTGACATGCACTCCAGGACTTCAGCTTGGCCATCCTCTGTGACCAGGTGGATGAGGACCAGGAGAACTTTGACTTGTGCCGTCGCTATGTGCTGTCCAACATCTACTACCATCGCTACCTGGACACCAGCAGTCACCAAGTGCGCCGCCAGCTGGAGGGAGTGGCCACCAAGCTGCGTGTGCATGCGCTGCCTGATCAGGCTGACCGGCTGGAGCGGCTCGGACAGCGGCTGGTGCAGCAAGATGACTGGGCTGAGCATGCTCAGGTGAGAGGGAGGCACATCCTGGATAGAGGGGAGCAGGCCAGGTCAGAGGGGAACAGGTCTTGGACAGAGGAGGGGGGAGCAGGCCAGGTCAGTGGGGAGCAGGTCCTGGACAGAGGGGGCAGGCCAGGTCAGAGGGGAGCACATCCTGGACAGAGGGGAGCAGGCCAGGTCAGCAGGGAGCAGGTCTTGGACAGAGGAGAGGGGAGCAGGCCAGGTCAGAGGGAAGCAGGTCCTGGACAGAGGAGAGGGGAGCAGGCCAGGTCAGTGGGGAGCAGGTCCTGGACAGAGGAGAGGAGAGCAGGCCAGGTCAGAGGGGAGCACATCCTGGATAGAGGAGAGGGTAGCAGGCCAGGTCAGTGGGGAGCACATCCTGGACAGAGGGGAACAAACCAGGTCAGAGGGGAGCAGGTCCTGGACAGAGGAGAGGGGAGCAGGCCATGTCAGCAGATAGCAGGTCCTGGACAGACTGGACAGGGAGCAGGCCAGGTCAGAGGGGAGCAGGTCGTGGACAGAAGAGAGGAGGCCAGATCAGAGGGGAGCACATACTGGACAGAGGGGAGCAGGCCAGGTCAGAGGGGAGCAGGTCCCAGACAGAGGAGAGGGGAGCAGGCCAGGTCAGCAGGAAGCAGGTCCTGGACAGGGGGGAGGAGGCCAGATCGGAGGGGAGCAGGTCCTGGACAGAGGGGGCAGGCCAGGTTGAAGGGGAGCAAGTCCTGGTCATAGGGGGGGGGGGGGGGGGCTGATCTAGGTCACAGGGGTGTATGCTCAGTATCTCTGTGTCAGACAGAGACAGTCTCTCTGAAGAGACGGAGACAGAGAGTCTCTCTGAAGGTACAGACTGTGTCTCCATCTCTGTCTTGGGGAGCTGGACAGAGGGCAAGCAGGCCCAGGGCAGAGGGGAGCAGGCCTAGGATAGTGGAGAGTAGGCCTGGGGCAGAGGGGTAAAAGGCCCAGGATGGAGGGGTGGCAGGTCCAGGATGGAGGGGGAGTAGACCCAGGCCAGAGAGAGAGCAGACCCAGGGCGGAGGGAGAGTAGACCCAGGGCGGAGGGAGCATAGACCCAGGGCGGAGGGAGAGCCAAAGGTGGGGAGCGCATGCCCAGAACAGAGCCTCAATCTCTCCCCGCCCGCTGTGGGTCGTGATGCAGGCCTTAATCACGAGTGTATCGTGAGCTGTGCGGACGGGAGGCACAGTCGTGACACTGCACGTGCGGTGAGCAGGAACGGGCATCCTGGGAACCTTTGTGTTTAGCTGCTTTGAACCGCCTCTTCCGGAGAGATAGACGCCTCAGAAAACATGCATGTGCTTGCAGGATCATCGTTGACGGTGATACGCCCTTTTTGAAGACGCGTTTATTGCAAGCAGAACACTGTCTGAGCAACACAGGGTATCTCTGGTCCTCAGTTCGTACGACCTTCGGATGGGCCAGCGGGCTGGCGTGGAGCTGTCGTGTTTTGAGTCCAGCGTACTTGATATCCGGCGCCCGTAGATGTCGCGTTTTGTGATGCCCCGTCCATCTTAGATCACCTCTGTCCCATCGCCTCTATGCTCGCTGTCGGCGGCCTCCGCGAGCTTCAATGACGCCTCCGCCGGGCCGGCAGTGGGACATTGAATGGCGGCTGCTGAGCCTGCTGATCAACCTCAGCAACAACCCCACCTCACTAGCAGCGGGCGGCGTTCCGCGCGCCGCCGCCGCTACCACCCGGCCGGCCCTCCAAGAGCAAGAGGAGGAGGAGCTGGACTGGGCGGAGGAGCTGCGTGTGGAGGAGGACGTCTTGAGTCCGTACCAGAGCCCGGTGAGGAACCGGGTGGGCGGGGGATGGGTGGAGAAATGGACGAAGCTGGAGTGTGGTGTGCGATGAACTGCTACGTCGATGGCGGGAGCATTGATCGCACCCTGGTGATATGATGACACCCTGTGTCTTTGGTTGAACCTGGGCTTTGTAATGATATGTTGTGACCTTGTCAGGAGGAGTGGTCGGACCTGGACGAGGAGGAGGAGAACGTCGCCAGCTGGCCCTCAGCTATACAGGAGCACTTGACAGGCTTACCCACCCCAGGTCGGTCTCATTACCAGACGGCATGCTCAGAGCTCAGGCCGCTTACCAGCTACACGTCTTATCGGCCGACAGCCGCTCCCATCGGCCGAGTGGTCGTGGCTCGCCGCGCCCTGTGTGGCCTGTGGTACCGGCCGCCGCCGTCTGGCCGCGCGTCAGTGCTGACGGCTGACTCGGGCGGCAGGTGGCGCGTCCGGCGCCCGGACGGCACCCACCACCGCCGCCCAGCAGGACCCGCTGGCTTGGCTAGAGCGGCGCGTGGCGCTGTCTTACCAGCCGGCCGGGTCGGAGCTGGACCCGCTGCGGCCGACCCCAGACGCAGCCGAGACCTTGTGAGTACCACCCACTACGCTGATAGGGTGCTGCTAGTTTTTAAGCTGCGATGACGTGACATGGCCAATGAGGGATTTTCCATTGCAGCTGAGTGTAGCAGCGTTCAGTTGTTGCGTGTGACCTCTGCTAGTTGGACGTTTGTCATCCCGTCAGGTGGCTAGCCAAACAGCCTTCCGCTCGTCTGGATTTGCAGGTTTGAGGCGAAACAGTCACATACAATCACGTCGGCACATCGGAAAAAGAATATTCATGAATTGAATGGACTGTATCTGCTTTGGTCCTTTTTTGCACACACGTCGGCTCATTAAGCCGTGCGAGTGTGTGGTGGCAACAGAGATGAGGGTGTCCACAGCCGAAACTGCAGTCACTCACATATCACACTATGATGCAGCGCGGCGGGCGTAAATTGTGATTCGGCGTGTGGTATTGCTGGTCACGTGTGGGGACCGTCGTCAGCAGGATGGCCGGTCTGTGAGCTGTGCTGACGTCATGTGTGCGGTGCCGCAGCCAGACGTACCAGCTGCGGCTGGGCCTGTGCGCGCCCGGTGACTGCACGCTCATCTCGGAGTGGTCCGTCTGCCGGGAGCTGGTCTGGCAGCTGCTGCGGCCCACAGACTCGCCGCTGTTCCAGCTCCGCAACGGCCAGTTCACCGCCTCCAGCCGGTACCGGCGTGCAGGGCCTGACCAAGGTGAGCGGTGCCTGCCGGCCGCCGCCTGCCGGCTCAGCTGCGGGCTGATGGGATGGTCGGTGAGAGGCGACGCTGTTCGAGCATCGATCCTGCTGGCCTTTGCGACCGGAGCCCGGGTCCAGTTGGCCTTTGTGACCGGAGCCCGGGTCCTGTTGGTCTTTGTGACCTGAGCCTGGGGTCCTGTTGGTCTTTGTGACCTGAGCCTGGGGTCCTGTTGGTCTTTGTGACCTGAGCCTGGGGTCCTGTTGGTCTTTGTGACCTGAGCCTGGGGTCCTGTTGGTCTTTGTGACCTGAGCCTGGGGTCCTGTTGGCCTTTGTGGCCGGAGCCCGGGTCCTGTTGGCCTTTGTGGCTGGAGCCCGGGTCCTGTTGGTCTTTGTGACCAGAGCCCGGGTCCTGTTGGCCTTTGTGGCCGGAGCCCGGGTCCTGTTGGTCTTTGTGGCTGGAGCCCGGGTCCTGTTGGTCTTTGTGACCAGAGCCCGGGTCCTGTTGGCCTTTGTGACCAGAGCCCGGGTCCTGTTGGCCTTTGTGGCTGGAGCCCGGGTCCTGTTGGTCTTTGTGACCGGAGTCCGGGTCCTGTTGTCCTTTGTGGCCGGAGCCCGTGGTCCTGTTGGCCTTTGTGGCCGGAGCCCGAGGTCCTGTTGGACCTTATGACTGTAGCCCGGGGTCCTGTTGGGCTTTGTGACCGGAGCCCGGGGTCCTGTTGGCCTTTGTGGCCGGAGCCCGTGGTCCTGTTGGCCTTTGTGGCCGGAG